TTCACAAGACTGCAGCCTCCATGGTCACATGGTAGAGAACAGAAGGTCGGGAGTTCAATCCCCGGATGGGGCAGTCGGGTAGCCTAGTGGTTAAGCGTTCGCTCGTCACGCCGAAGACCCGGGTTCGATTCCCGACATGGGTACAATGTGTGAAGCCCATTTCTGGTGTCCCCCGCCGTGATATTGCTGGAATATTGCTAAAGGCTGCTAAAAGCTGCGTAAAACCCCACTCACTCACTCACTCACTCACTCAATCCCCGGATGCATCAGACCAAAAGAAGTTAAAAGATGGTACTTGTTGTTACCTGCTCGGCATTAAGGGGCTAAAATAAGGACTGGTCGGCTCAGAGTCCGATACTGTGTCTGAGTAGGGTATTCATGTTAAACTGTGGCATGGTATCTCAGGGAGCTAGCACTATAAAATCAGCATTAGTCCAGACTAGTACAAGCAGCTACACACACAAATGTGCATGCACATCGCTATATAAGTGCAATAATTGAATGCGACATTAAACCCCATTTCACCTCACCTACAATTCACAAGGTAATTATAAGATAGCAAAAGACCTACAATACTATTTCCAAAAGGGTCAGTAGGTTATAACATTAAAACAAAGGAAGGTAACTGTTGGCTGCCCCGACACAGAGTGACGGGCCTTGTTGGGTGTGAGGAGGCCATTCCGTGTGTCGGGCGCCATTACGTGATCAGTGAATGTTGAGATTTATGGCATCATCTCTGAGCTGCTGCCCCTCGCTGGCTTATGATCAGGTCTTGATGGTCTTCGTGCCAGACACCAGATTTTATAATGAGGCTGGCTAATGAGAAAGTAGTGTTTGCCAGAAAACTGCTTTCAGGTTATTAGCCTGAGATGATATTTCCTTTAAGACTGATGATGAGTGTGTAGGTTGTAATGCAGGCTGGGTTTTGTTGTGATGAACGCTGTTGTGTTGGCATGGATTACATACAGCTGATATTATCTTTTATATCCTGGCTTACGTGCGTCCGTATCAGATTGATGATTACTTCGGTAATGTAATTACTGAAACATTAACGGTGAAATTACTTTATCTGTTGTGAACATCGTGATCACTAATGTCTTAATGACAGAATTCATGTGATGTTTAAAATACTGGTGTTAAAAAAACCCAATTTATTGCTAAAATATGTACACTGTATATGGTATTTAGGACCATCCATTTAATTCCTTGGGTAGCGGGAAAAGATTTAAGAATAAAATAGTTTGTTCAGAAATGTGCCGAAAATGAATAATTTGGTGAAAAAAGTGAATACATTGTAGTTTGTTTTGAGGAAAATACCCCAGTGTCATAATTTTGTGTTAATAGTGAAAATATATAGATTGTTTGCTGGTGGTCAGTGAATAAATAGTTGGTTGGATACAGCTGGGAAAAAATAGATTGTTCTAAAAAATAAATTTGACCCTTCCCCAGACAAATGAAATGGATACTTCCTGATCTTCGATATTTACATTGTGGTCCCAGCATTGGCAGTTTTAGTTCAAGAAAAACACGATAACTGAAAAACCTATTTTCTTTCTTTGAGACAAGATATGTGTCTTCCGTACCCCCAGTAAGTTTGTCACACTTCATCCTTCTATCGCCTACTTCAGGCCACTTTGCCATATTTCATGTCCCCACCCAAGAAGAGCATCAGAATTCCCGCCCACCCCACTAGACCCATACTTCCCCCACTGCCCCCGTCTCACTCCACCCCAGTTTCGCACCCCCACTGACTCCAGTTCCCCATCCCCACTGACCCTGTTTACCCCCCCACACACACACACACACTTACCTCAGTTCCCCACCCCCCACTGATTCCAGTTCCCCACCCCCACTGACCCAAGTTTCCCACCCCCAACTGACACCACCCCACGAGACCCTGTTTACCCTTCCCCCACTTACCTCAGTTCCCCACCCCCACCAGTTCCCCACCCCCACCGACACCAGTTCCCCACCCCCACCCCCACCAGTTCCCCACCCCCACCGACACCAGTTCCCCACCCCCACCAACTCCAGTTCCCCACCCCCACTGACTCCAGTTCCCCACCCCCACCAACTCCAGTTCCCCATCCCCCACCAACTCCAGTTTCCCCCCCCACCAACTCCAGTTCCCCACCCCCACCAACTCCAGTTCCCCATCCCCAACCAACTCCAGTTACCCATCCCCCACTGACTCCAGTTCCCCACCCCCACCAACTCCAGTTCCCCATCCCCCACCAACTCCAGTTTCCCCCCCCACCAACTCCAGTTCCCCACCCCCACCAACTCCAGTTCCCCATCCCCAACCAACTCCAGTTACCCATCCCCCACTGACTCCAGTTTCCCATCCCCACCAACTCCAGTTCCCCACCCCCACCAACTCCAGTTACCAATCCCCCACTGACTCCAGTTCCCCATCCCCAACCAACTCCAGTTCCCCACCTCCACCAACTCCAGTTCCCCATCCCCCACTGACTCCAGTTCCCCATCCCCAACCAACTCCAGTTTCCCATCCCCACCAACTCCAGTTACCCATCCCCCACTGACTCCAGTTTCCCATCCCCACCAACTCCAGTTCCCCACCCCCACCAACTCCAGTTACCCATCCCCCACTGACTCCAGTTTCCCATCCCCACCAACTCCAGTTACCCATCCCCCACTGACTCCAGTTCCCCATCCCCAACCAACTCCAGTTCCCCATCCCCAACCAACTCCAGTTCCCCACCCCCACCAACTCCAGTTCCCCACCCCCACCAACTCCAGTTCCCCATCCCCCACTGACCGCAGCTCATCATCCCGAGACCCCAGATCCCCACCCCCACTGACCTCAGTTCCCCACCCCCTATGACTACAGCTCCCCCCACTAAACAGTTCCCACCACCACTAGATCCCGTTTCCCTCACCACCACCACCCACTAGAGCCCCACTTTCCACTGCCTCAGTGTAATCACAACTATGGCTATTTCTGGCCTGTGCAGATCTGACCTACTCAGACAGAGGTTGTTATTGTTTATAGAGTTGCCTCCCTTAGTCTGTCAGAGCTGTCTGTTTTTCATGATGCAGTTTGGCCTAGTTTCGTATGAAATCTCTCATATAAACAGCAGATATTCATATTTCTGATGTCTTAATTTAGACTTAAGTATTCCGAACAACAAGAATGTGTCTGCATTCTCCCTCAAGTGCCAAAATGTGGATCTGAACGCAAGTCCTAGCTTTACATTGTTTACCGGCTGCCATGATGGTTGAGATTCTGTAGTACGTTTTGTCAAAATCCTGACCTTGGACGCTGGTCAGAGGGTAGGGAGTTACTGGACCCAAGAATTCTGGAAGAGGCAGCATTCATGCACCTCAGGGTCGCCCAAGGGAGCCAGAGATGACCTCATTTTTGTGTGAGATGGAAATCACATCATCGGTCCTGTGCCCTGACCTTTGACCTCTAATGAGGTGACTGAGATGCTACCAAGGCAGGCAAGACAAGCAGGGAAAGCTTCAGTGAAGGATTCTCGAGTCTCGGATAGCCGTAGGTTTATATGTACAGAGATTAACTCCTGATAGGCAGAGGGTGGTGTTCTGATCAATATACTCCATCCACACAATAGGTGTGAAATTGGGCCTATTAATAGCAGTATGTGAAGGCAGTACATCTGTCTGGCCCAGTTTGACTGCTGCCACTGATATTCCTCTCTTTATTTGGGGTTCAGGGGTCTATTGACCGGACACAGGTCACATGGTCACTTAACCTGACCATTAGGAGGGAGAGTGACCACCGTCTGTCAGGTTGAGAGCCTGTGTTGGCCATGCCTGCCCAGAGAAGGTGAGATTTCCCTGCGATGTAATTATCTCCCTGCTGTGAGGACGTAAACAATTACATGCCCAGCAGGAGGTGCTCCCTGATAACCTGGGGAAGAAGGATGCATCAGCATTGTCTCTCTGTGTGTTTATGTATCAAGGATCGCATTACCCAAAGCAAATCCAAGGCATTCACAGGGCCCTAGGGCATGTTGACAGGGCATTCATTAGGTGATATTACAGCAGAGTAGTGGGTATCTTAGGTAACGCTTTCTGAAGTCATTCAGTAAACCAGTGGTAGAAGTGGCAGTGGGTGGCACTGTGGTGCAGGTGTTTGTCTGTGTTACTGGGGGGCACACATAAGGTGTTGCAGAGTTTGGTTCTGTTGATCTCGGACTGTGTTGTTCCTGTGCTGTTAGTTTCATCATAATATATTTAAGAAACATTGTTTCATCACGAACAAACTTGTATGCATACTTGAAAATTTAAAATCATACATGTTTCACTAAAAATATGCTTATTGTGAATGTCTTCGATTTTGCTACATGTATCTACTGTTTAGGAAATTTCCCACAACCTTGACAGCATTTAATGACTATCATTTTGTGTCATGAATAATGGCATATTGATGATAATATTGTCAATAATATTATGAGTATTATCATTCACAATAATATTAGCAATGATATTATCAGCAGCACCAATGTCAGCAGCAAGAATATCATCACTCTTGTGTCAGAACTGCAGTATAAATGGCTGCTGTTTCCAGAGGTGTCACATATGCATGCATGATTTGGTCTCGGGAGTGTGGGGTCTTGGCATAGATCTGACTCCTGGGACAGACATTAACGACTTTTCAATAAAGCAGATGCAAGCAATGCATATTAAATAATTGATGCCAAAGTACCGATAAATATTTCATTATCAATTACTATGGCTAAGTTGGTAGACATGTGCTTTTTCTGTTATCGACAATCAATGAATATTGTATTTGTAATATGATAAACAGCATTTAATCTGACTTGGGTATGAGAGCTGCTGCGCTCAGATTTCAGGTTCCTGTGATGAATCTGATCAACACAGGCACGTAAACCAGCCATGAATTCTATTTTTGAGGTCAGTGATGTTCCATCGACTTCAAAGGGAATGACAAATGGTATGATGTGTAACATCCCACATTTTCCAATATCTAACATAATGTTAATCTCTTTCAGACACTGGCCGTGATTCTGCTTTGAAAGATCCGTTAGTTCGTTCCCGGGAGCTCTTCATATCTGATGCAACGGATACCTACCCGGTCACAGCTCTACGGTAAGCGCATTCTTAATATTTACCTACCCCCTGTCCTGTAATCAGTGTCCCCTGTCCTGTAGTCAGTGCCCCGAATTCTGAAGCCAGTACACCTCTTCCTGTAGCCAGTAGCCCCTGTTCTGTAGCCAGTGTCCCCTGTCCTGTAGTCAGTGCTCCGAATTCTGTAGCCAGTGTTCCCTGTCCTGTGGCCAGTACCTCCTGTCCTGTAGCCAGTACCCCCTGTCCTGTAGTCAGTACCCCTCATCCTGTCGTCAGAACCCCTGTCAGTACCCCCTGTCCTGTAGTCAGTACCCCCTGTCCTGTGTCAGCACCCTGTCAGTACCCCCTGTCCTGTAGCCAGTGTCCCCTGTCCTGTAGTCAGTGCTCCGAATTCTGTAGCCAGTGTTCCCTGTCCTGTAGCCAGTACCTCCTGTCCTGTAGTCAGTACCCCCTGTTCTGTAGCCAGTACCCTCTGTCCTGTAGTCAGTACCCCCCATCCTGTCGTAAGAACCCCTGTCAGTACCCCCTGTCCTGTAGTCAGTACCCCCTGTCCTGTGTCAGCACCCTGTCAGTACCCCCTGTCCTGTAGCCAGTGTCCCCTGTCCTGTAGTCAGTGCTCCGAATTCTGTAGCCAGTGTTCTCTGTCCTGTAGCCAGTACCTCCTGTCCTGTAGTCAGTACCCCCCATCCTGTCGTCAGAACCCCTGTCAGTACCCCCTGTCCTGTAGCCAGCACCCCTGTCCTGTAGCCAGCACCCCTGTCCTGTAGCCAGCACCCCTGTCCTGTAGCCAGCACCCCTGTCCTGTAGCCAGTACCCCGTCCTGTAGCCAGCACCCCTGTCCTGTAGCCAGTACCCCTGTCCTGTAGCCAGTACCCCGTCCTGTAGCCAGTACCCCCTGTCCTGTAGCCAGTACCCCGTCCTGTGTCAGCAACCCCTGTCAGTACCCCCTGTCCTGCAGCCAGTACCCCCTGTCCTGTTGCCAGTACCCCGTCCTGTAGCCATCACGCCCTGTCCTGTAGCCAGCACCCCTGTCCTGTAGCCAGTACCCCGTCCTGTAGCCAGTACCCCGTCCTGTAGCCAGTACCCCCTGTCCTGTAGCCAGCACCCCTGTCCTGTAGCTAGTACCCCGTCCTGTAGCCAGCACCCCTGTCCTGTAGTCAGTGCTCCGAATTCTGTAGCCAGTGTTCCCTGTCCTGTAGCCAGTACCTCCTGTCCTGTAGTCAGTACCCCCCATCCTGTCGTCAGAACCCGTCAGTACCCCCTGTCCTGTAGCCAGCACCCCTGTCCTGTAGCCAGCACCCCTGTCCTGTAGCCAGCACCCCTGTCCTGTAGCCAGCACCCCTGTCCTGTAGCCAGCACCCCTGTCTTGTAGCTAGTACCCTGTCCTGTAGCCAGTGTCCCCTGTCCTGTAGTCAGTGCTCCGAATTCTGAAGCCAGTGTTCCCTGTCCTGTAGCCAGTACCCCCTGTCCTGTAGTCAGTACCCCCCATCCTGTCGTCAGAACCCGTCAGTACCCCCTGTCCTGTAGCCAGCACCCCTGTCCTGTAGCCAGCACCCCTGTCCTGTAGCCAGCACCCCTGTCCTGTAGCCAGTACCCCGTCCTGTAGCCAGCACCCCTGTCCTGTAGCCAGTATCCCTGTCCTGTAGCCAGTACCCCATCCTGTAACCAGTACCCCCTGTCCTGTAGCCAGTACCCCGTCCTGTGTCAGCAACCCCTGTCAGTACCCCCTGTCCTGCACCCAGTACCCCCTGTCCTGTTGCCAGTACCCCGTCCTGTAGCCATCACCCCCTGTCCTGTAGCCAGCACCCCTGTCCTGTAGCCAGTACCCCGTCCTGTAGCCAGTACCCCATCCTGTAGCCAGTACCCCGTCCTGTAGCCAGTACCCTGTCCTGTAGCCAGTACCCCCTGTCCTGTAGCCAGCACCCCTGTCCTGTAGCTAGTACCCCGTCCTGTAGCCAGCACCCCTGTCCTGTAGCCAGTACCCCTGTCCTGTAGCCAGTACCCCATCCTGTAGCCAGTACCCCCTGTCCTGTAGCCAGCACCCCTGTCCTGTAGCCAGTACCCCGTCCTGTGTCAGCAACCCGTCAGTACCCCTGTCCTGCAGCCAGTACCCCCTGTCCTGTTGCCAGTACCCCGTCCTGTAGCCAGTACCCCCTGTCCTGTAGCCAGCACCCCTGTCCTGTAGCCAGTACCCCGTCCTGTAGCCAGTACCCCCTGTCCTGTAGACAGTACCCTGTCCTGTAGCCAGCACCCCGTCCTGTGTCAGCACCCCCTGTCAGTACCCCCTGTCCTGTAGCCAGCACCCGTCCTGTAGCCAGTAGCCCCTGTTCTGCAGCCAATACCCCCTGTCCTTTAGCCAGTGTCCCCTGTCCTGTAGTCAGTGCTCCGAATTCTGAAGCCAGTGTTCCCTGTCCTGTAGTCAGTACCCCCTGTCCTGTAGCCCCTGTCCTGTAGTCAGTAACCCCCATCCTGTCGTCAGAACCCCTGTCAGTACCCCCTGTCCTGTAGCCAGTACCCCCTGTCCCGTAGCCAGCACCCCTGTCCCGTAGCAGGCACCCCTGTCCTGTAGCCAGTACCTTGTCCTGTAGCCAGCACCCCGTCCTGTAACCAGCACCCCTGTCCTGTAGCCAGCACCCCTGTCCTGAAGCCAGTACGCCGTCCTGTGTCAACACCCCCTGTCAGTACCCCCTGTCCTGTAGCCAGCACCCGTCCTGTAGCCAGTACCCCCTGTCCTGTAGTCAGCACCCCTGTCCTGTAGCCAGCACCCCTGTCCTGTAGACAGTACCCCGTCCTGTGTCAGCACCCCTGTCCCGTAGCCAGCACCCCTGTCCTGTAGCAGGCACCCCTGTCCTGTAGCCAGCACCCCTGTCCTGTAGCCAGTACCCCGTCCTGTGTCAACACCCCCTGTCAGTACCCCGTCCTGCAGCCAGTACCCCCTGTCCTGTAGCCAGCACCCGTCCTGTAGCCAGTACCACCTGTCCTGTAGCCAGTACCCCGTCCTGTAACAAGTACCCCGTCCTGTGTCAGCACCCCCTGTCAGTACCCCCTGTCCTGTAGCCAGCACCCGTCCTGTAGCCAGTACCCCCTGTCCTGTAGTCAGCACCCCTGTCCTGTAGCCAGCACCCCTGTCCTATAGACAGTACCCCGTCCTGTGTCAGCACCCCTGTCCCGTAGCCAGCACCCCTGTCCTGTAGCCAGCACCCCTGTCCTGTAGCCAGCACCCCTGTCCCGTAGCCAGCACCCCTGTCCTGTAGCCAGTACCCCGTCCTGCAGCCAGTACCCCCTGTCCTGTAGCCAGTACCCCCTGTCCTGTAGCCAGTACCCCGTCCTGTAGCAAGTACCCCGTCCTGTGTCAGCACCCCCTGTCAGTACCCCCTGTCCTGTAGCCAGCACCCGTCCTGCAGCCAGTACCCCCTGTCCTGTAGCCAGGACCCCGTCCTGTAGCAAGTACCCTGTCCTGTAGCCAGTACCCCGTCCTGTAGCCAGCATCCCCTGTCGGTACCCCCTATCAGTACCCCTTGTCCTGCGGCCAGTAACCCCTGTCCTGTAGCCAGTACCCCGTCCTGTAGCCAGTACCCCCTGTCCTGTAGCCAGGACCCCCTGTCCTGCAGCCAGTGCCTCTTGTCCTGTAGCCATTACCCCCTGTAAGTACCCCGTCCTGTAGCCATTACCCCCTGTAAGTACCCCATCCTGCAGCCAGCACCCCCTGTCAGTACCCCTTGTCCTGCAGCCAGTGCCTCTTGTCCTGTAACCAGTACCCTTGTCCTGTAGCCAGTACCCCCTATCCTTCAGCCAGTACCCCTTGTCCTGCAGCCAGTGCCTCTTGTCCTGTAGCCGATACCCCCTGTCCTGTAGCCTGTTCCCCTTAGTTGTCTATTAAGGCGCCTAAATTCACTGTGCAGAGGTTCATCCTTTGGGCAATCCAGACGCCTATGATTGTAGGTTCCAAATCCGGTTCACCACAATCTAGCGAATCTTGTACTTTTATTGTCTCGAGGGAGTTGAGAAACAAAATAATAATAATGGTGTTACCGCTTTGAACATATGTCAGATAGCAATATGTTGCACTTTGTTGCCGCAAACAACAGCATGGTTGCACATGAGCCACAAAGAACGAGTTTTCCCCGTACAGAGAATAATGACGATATGGTTGCACTCATCTTCCCAAAGGGAAGGGCGTCAACTGACTATAAAAGTCCAGTTTTCATCCTTGCCGAACTAGGCTGGTATTCCGAGTTTACATTTTGGTTGGATATGCATAGTCCAGTCAAATTCATGTTTTGAACTAGACATCCAGTTCAGTTTCAATGTGCAGATTTCGGTCGACTGCAGGATTTGCAAAGCATGTGAACTGCCAACTGTGCGTTGACAGATATTTTGCAAATCTCTTCATGTTTTTAATAAAGTGCACAAGAGATTTGATGTACTTTGTGGGGTATGACCCGTTTTTTTTCAATATAGGTCTTGATCATCGATCAGATCGTAATGACTGCGCCGCCATTTTGTTTGAAGCAAATGCAAGTGATATGAGAGATGGAATCTGACTGGTCAATAGAAGGTACAGAACTCGTAATAGCCACTGGTGGCGCTATGATCGAGCCTGGAAATTCCAGCCTAGTTTTGAAGGGTGAAAACTGGACTTTTATAGAGAGTTAGGGCCCGTTCCTTGGGAAGATGGGTTGCACTGTCTAGCATGGAACAACAATTGTGATTAATTGTTTTACAGCAACAGCCTCAGTGTACAAATACCTAGCAACACATTATTCCACTGCGTTTCACACAACTGTACATGAAGCAATTTAGAAAATCCCTCGGATTCACTGGATATAATTCAGTTGTTTTGTCAAGATGCTCCTCCTCCCATACAGCAGCAAAGTTTGTGTTTCAGCGGGAAGTGCTCTGTAGCTCACTACCAGGACATATACTCGGCCAAGGATCTCGAGCCCAAACCCGACCACTTCTTCTACGTTCTAGGATATAATCCTGAGACCAAGAGACTGGCGACAACGCAGGGCGAGATCCGGGTGGGCTCGAGCCATCAGGTGAGTTGCAATGCACGCTCTAATAACATTCATATCTCAACATTTTTGTCTTTGTGTCACCCCTTGTATTACCTTCTTTAATTACATCCGTGTGCCACCTCTTGTGTTGCCTCCTTTAATGACATCCGTGTGTCATCCCTTGTGTTGCCTCCTTTAATGACATCCCTGTGTCACCCCTTGAATTGCCTCCTTTAATGACATCCGTGTGTCACCCCTTGTGTTGCCTCCTTTAATGACATCCCTGTGTCACCCCTTGAATTGCCTCCTTTAATGACATCCGTGTGTCACCCCTTGTGTTGCCTCCTTTAATGACATCCGTGTGTCACCCCTTGTTTTGCCTCCTTTAATGACATCCGTGTGTCACCCCTTGAATTGCCTCCTTTAATGACATCCGTGTGTCACCCCTTGAATTGCCTCCTTTAATGACATCCGTGTGTCACCCCTTGTGTTGCCTCCTTTAATGACATCCGTGTGTCACCCCTTGTGTTGCCTCCTTTAATGACATCCCTGTGTCACCCCTTGAATTGCCTCCTTTAATGACATCCGTGTGTCACCCCTTGTGTTGCTTCCTTTAATGACATCCGTGTGTCACCCTTTGTATTGCCTCCTTTAATGACATCCGTGTGCAACCCCTTGTATTGCCTCTTTTAATGACATCCGTGTGCCACCCCTTGTATTGCCTCCTTTAATGACATCTGTGTGCAACCCCTTGTATTGCCTCTTTTAATGACATCCGTGGGTCACCCCTTGTATTGCCTCCTTTAAATAACATCCTGGTGTCACCCCTTGTATTGCCTCCTTTACTGACATCCGTGTGTCACCCCTTGTGTTGCCTCCTTTAATGACATCCGTATGTCACCCCTTGTATTGCCTCCTTTACTGACATCCGTGTGCAACCCCTTGTATTGCCTCCTTTACTGACATCCGTGTGTCACCCCTTGTATTGCCTCCTTTACTGACATCCGTGTGCAACCCCTTGTGTTGCCTCCTTTAATGACATCCGTGTGTCACCCCTTGAATTGCCTCCTTTAAATAACATCCGTGTGTCACCCCTTGAATTGCCTCCTTTAATGACATCCGTGTGCAACCCCTTGAATTGCCTCCTTTAATGACATCAGTGTGTCACCTCTTGTGTTGCCTCCTTTAATGACATCCGTGTGCCACCCCTTGTGTTGCCTCCTTTAATGACATGCGTGTGTCACCCCTTGTTTTGCCTCCTTTAATGACATCCGTGTGTCACCCCTTGTGTTCCCCCCTTTAATGACATGCGTGTGTCACCCCTTGTTTTGCCTCCTTTAATGACATCCGTGTGTCACCCCTTGTGTTCCCCCCTTTAATGACATCCGTGTGTCACCCCTTGTTTTGCCTCCTTTAATGACATCCGTGTGTCACCCCTTGTGTTCCCCCCTTTAATGACATCCGTGTGTCACCCCTTGTTTTGCCTCCTTTAATGACATCCGTGTGTCACCCCTTGAATTGCCTCCTTTAATGACATCCGTGTGTCACCCCTTGTGTTGCCTCCTTTAATGACATCCGTGTGTCACCCCTTGTGTTGTCTCCTTTAATGACATCCGTGTGCCACCTCTTGTGTTGCCTCCTTTAATGACATCCGTGTGTCACCCCTTGAATTGCCTCCTTTAATGACATCCGTGTGTCACCCCTTGTGTTGCCCCCTTTAATGACATCCGTGTGTCACCCCTTGTGTTGTCTCCTTTAATGACATCCGTGTGTCACCCCTTGTGTTGCCCCCTTTAATGACATCCGTGTGTCACCCCTTGTGTTGCCCCCTTTAATGACATCCGTGTGTCACCCCTTGTATTGCCTCCTTTAATGACATCCGTGTGTCACCCCTTGTGTTGCCTCCTTTAATAACATCCGTGTGTCATCCCTTGAATTGCCTCCTTTAATGACATCTGTGTGTCATCCCTTGAATTGCCTCCTTTAATGACATCTGTGTGTCATCCCTTGAATTGCCTCCTTTAATGACATCTGTGTGTCACCCCTTGTATTGCCTCCTTTAATGACATCCGTGTGTCATCCCTTGTTGGTTGTCTCCCCCTATCTGACTGTTGGTTGTTTCTCCCTATCTGACTTTGTTGGTTGTCTCCCCTAATGTGGGTTGTCTCCCCCTATCTGACATGTGTTTTGTCTCCCCAGGCTCGACTGCCGGAGTATAAGCCGGATGTGCGCCCACCCGACATGCCGGAGAGCTGTGATAAGCATGAAGATCTCAAATGGCAGCCTTTGTGCGTCATGGACGGTGATCTCATCATGTACCTCCGCGCAGCAAGGTGGGTGAAGTCGCAACCTGGTCTCCGGTCCTTGGAAGGGGTTCTGAAGTTGTAGTGCTTATGACAGAGCTCTAGATAAGCTTTTAGTTATTTTACCCATGGGTTTGATTTTGATTGGGTATTCAATTATTTTTTTACACACGTTTCCTTACATTTATACATTTTGACTTGAGAACCTGTTTTGTAACAGGCCCTGTAATTCATTTTAAATCAAATGAATAGAAGTATACAAGTATTTTACTGAATCCAACTGTTGGTTAATGAATTTCGCGATTGGCAGACACGCAATCATTTTTACGAAAAGTTGTAATATTTGCATTAGTGTTATTAAAAGTTTTTGTTGCATATTTGATATGCTATGGATTTGATTTGTCTGCATAATTCCGTTTTCAGTGCGTATTTTACGCAAATACACAGTTTATCTACAGCTCTGTTATTGCTTTGCAGTGGTTATTACATTGAAGTTTCTCCATTGCAGTGTTTAATTCATTGCAGTTATTCCATAGCAGTGGTTGTTACATGTTGAAGTTATTACATTGACGTTATTTCATGGCAGAAGTTACATATTACATAACAGTAGCTATGTCTGGAGGTCTGTCTGTGTCTTGGCTGCTTTAGTCAGTGGGGACCCATAAGTGGACTGATGGCGTGTCACGTTGGTTTGCCTGGTCCACTCACTCACTCACTCATGCACTGTAAATCTCAGGCCCTCCTGAATTTTTATCTTTTTAATTTACCAATCTCTACTTATAAGGAACCCATGAAGATCCTGTGTAAAATACGTCTTCAGCAACCCATGCTTGCCGTAAAAGGCGAATATGCTTGTTGTAACAGGCGACTAACAGCATCATGGTTTTATGCATGTCATCATATCCAAATTGCGTGGATTGATGCTATTGATGTCAATCACTGGATTGCCTGGTTCAGACTCGATTATTTACAGACCGCTGTCATATAGCTGAATTATTGCTGAGTTCAGCATTAATCAATAAACAAACAAACTTATTAGACGTAGTGTTGGACTTGACTTCAATATCTTTTGCATTTATGGAGGTATAAACATAAACATAGCAGAATTTTGCAAGTTTATGCCTACATAAATGCAAAAAATATTGAAGCCAATTCATATAAATATATATGTCAACAATAATAACTTCACAGACTGCTTATATTGACGCCCACTGAAGATCTGGGGTAGAATAGGTCTTCAGCAACCCATGCTTGCTGTAAAAGGCGACTATGCTTGTCGAAAGAGGCGACTAATGGGATTGGGTGGTCAGGTTCGCTGACTTTGTTGATATATGTCATCGATCCCAATTGCTTGGATCAATGCTCATGATATTAATCCCTGGATTGTCTGACTTGATTATTTACAGACCACCATCATATAGCTTGAATATTGCAGTGAAGTGTTAAACACACAAACAAACAAAAGAAAAGTGAATGATTGAGTGAAAGATTGATTTTTGGCAGGAAATAACTTAAGCATGGTTTACATGCACACATTTACCCCGAGAGATAAGTTACGTTATATGAACATGTTTTTAAAATTTACTCCAGGGGGGTGTTAAAAAAACCCACCTCAATAAGCGGAGCAAATTTCGTACCCTCATGGGGTATATTTACCCCCTTGGCCAAAGTAGTGCATATAAGCTTGGCTCTAGTTGATTACAGTGACATCAAATATTGATGATAATATCTGTATCAAATGTGAGTATATATGTATTATATTAATATATCAAGGCATATAACCCATGAATATATATACGTGAAATATAGCAATAATTGTACTGATATGAATATGAAAAAAAATATAATAATGATTATTAACACAATGGCTCTGTGAATATTTATGAGCTGTATACAGTACCAAGCAAGGTAGTACACAGATGTTGGTCCCAGGTGTGTGATAACAGAGGCTGCCATCTTGTTCTCAGGTAATTTCTGAAGCTGACACCGGGCTTGGCGGTCTAGAAATCTGATACAACTGTCACTCTCGACAGCTATTTTGTTCTTTCATAATTAACGTCGTGAATTGTAAGGAGAGTGTATCATGATGGTTGCTTTAAGCATATCCTTTCTTAGGGTGGGTCAATTATTTACTGTCCTTTCATTGTGTTAGATAGCGCCAGGCAGGTAACCGGATGTGGTAGGCAATGTTTCTGCTGTTCGCTTAATTGATTGCAGCTGACGTGGTTGGCAAAGCAAGGATTCTGTGGAGGATATTGCCATGTGGCTTGTTCTTTGTTTTATCCATTTCATATAGTTGAGTGTGTGGAACAGTGTGTTTGGTGATGGGGCTATGTGATCGTATTCCCTGGCTGCCGCTGCTAAGGAGAGAGCTGTCATTGTTACCTTGTGATACTAGATACATTCCCAGCTTCATCTTGGCTGTTATAGGTTTTATCCCCTTACAGAAGAAGGAAGATGTGTCTTCATGTAAATGTTTATAATATAGCAGTCTCGTTACTTCAATGTTCCATTAGATCCAGGGTGCTTCAGGGTTCATCAAACTTATCTAGTCAACGAGGTCGTGAATTCACTCCCACATCTAGCCAACACAACAATCAGGTCATGTATCCACTCCCACATCTAGCCAACATATGTCAATGAGGTCATGTATTCACTTCCACATCTAGCCAACACATCAATGAGGTCATGTATTCACTCCCACAGCTGGTCAGCACATGTCAATGAGGTCATGTATTCACTTCCACATCTAGCCAACATATGTCAATGAGGTCATTTTATCACTTCCACATCTAGCTAACATGTCAATGAGGTCATGTATCCACTCCCGCATCTAACCAACACATCAATGAGGTCATGTATTCACTTCCACATCTAGCCAACACTTCAATGAAGTCATGTATCAACTCCCACATCTAGCCAATACATCAATGAGGTCATGTATTCACTCCCACAGCTGGTCAGCATATGTCAGTGAGGTCATGTTATCACTTCCACATCTAGCCAACACATCAATGAAGTCATGTATCAACTCCCACATCTAGCCAATACATCAATAAGGCCATGTCCTCACTCCCACATCTGGCCAACTCCTGAGGTCGTGTTTTACCAGACATGTCACGATGCATATGTCTGCCTCTGTACGACAATGTGTGTTTTGTTGCAGGAGTATCGCAGCCTTCGCGGGGATGTGTGATGGAGGCTCCACGGAGGACGGTTGCCAGGCAGCTTCCATGGACGAGACAACCATCAATGCCATGGACATTGTGAGTGCAGCTTATTCCATAACCAGCTTCTTCAATATCCTTGTCAACATATTGTATAAAGATACACATCATATTGTTTCCCATATATTATAATGATGTATCACACACACCCTGTGTCTAACTCTGGAGGGGTGGGTGGATGGGTGTTTGGGTGCTGGGATTCTTTTAAAAAATAATTGTGCCAAAAAAAAGTGTTGAAAAAAAAGAAATTGTCTGCCACAATACAATACATTGATGCAAGATGATTATTTAAAAGTATTTAGGCTCATAGTTTAATATAAATTGAATCTGGTTTTGCTGAAAAAATGTTTTCTTCATACATTGTGCCACTTTCAGGCTGATGGTCCAATCTTGTGGCATTTTTACTACAAACCATTGTCACTGTACACATTTCTTAATACACATTGGGGGGGCACGGGTGGCCCAGTTGTCTAAGGCAACACGATTGGCTGTGCAGAGTTGCGTCCCTTGGGCACGCCAGAAACCTATGATTGTTGGTTCGAATCCCGGTTCTCCCCAATTATGTTTCTAGGTTTGTCAGCACCATACCCGTGCTTGTGGGTTTCACCGAAGTGGTAAACACCTGCATCACTTCGGGCTTTCCATCCACATTAAGCTGACACGCCACGATATAACTGGAATACTGTTAAAAGCGGCTTTAAACCCAACTCACTCACTCACTCACTCACTCACTAAGACACATTGGAATATAGTTTTTACTGCCCTCCATTGTCAGTGTGTGTAGTTGTTAATGTACACCATTGTCAGTGTATGTAGTTGTTAATGTACACCATTGTCAGTGTATGTAGTTGTTAATGTACACCATTGTCAGTGTATACAGTTGTTAATGTACACCATTGTCAGTGTATGTAGTTGTTAATGTACACCATTGTCAGTGTGTGTAGTTGTTAATGCACACCATTGTCAGTGTATGTAGTTGTTAATGCACACCATTGTCAGTGTATGTAGTTGTTAATGTACACCATTGTCAGTGTGTGTAGTTGTTAATGCACACCATTGTCAGTGTATGTAGTTGTTAATGCACACCATTGTCAGTGTATGTAGTTGTTAATGTACACCATTGTCAGTGTATGTAGTTGTTAATGTACACCATTGTCAGTGTATGTTGTTGTTAACACACAGCACTTTCAGTGTGTGTAGTTAATTCACACCATTATCAGTGTGTGTAGTTGTTAATGCACACCATTGTCAGTGTATGTAGTTGTTAATGTACGCCATTGTCAGTGTATGTAGTTGTTAATGCACACCATTGTCAGTGTATACAGTTGTTAACAAACAGCACTTTCAGTTTGTGTTGTTGTTAATGCACACCATTGTCAGTGTATACAGTTGTTAACACACAGCACTTTCAGTTTGTGTTGTTGTTAATGCACACCATTGTCAGTGTATACAATTGTTAACATACACCATTGTCAGTGTATAAAATTGTTAACAAACACCATTGTCAATGTATACAATTGTTAACATACACCATTGTCAATGTATACAATTGTTAACATACACCATTGTCAGTGTATACAGTTGTTAATGCACACCATTGTCAGTGTATGTAGTTGTTAATGCACACCACTGTCAGTGTATGTAGTTGTTAATGCACACCATTGTCAGTGTATGTAGTTGTTAATGTACACCATTGTCAGTGTATGTAGTTGTTAATGTACACCATTGTCAGTGTGTGTAGTTGTTAATGCACACCATTGTCAGTGTATGTAGTTGTTAATGTACACCATTGTCAGTGTATGTAGTTGTTAATGCACACCATTGTCAGTGTATACAGTTGTTAACACACAGCACTTTCAGTGTGTGTTTTTGTTAATGCACACCATTGTCAGTGTATACAGCTGTTAACACACAGCACTTTCAGTTTGTGTTGTTGTGAATGCACACCATTGTCAGTGTATACAATTGTTAACATACACCATTGTCAGTGTATAAAAAATTGTTAACAAACACCATTGTCAATGTATACAATTGTTAACATACACCATTGTCAATGTATACAATTGTTAACATACACCATTGTCAGTGTATACAGTTGTTAATGCACACCATTGTCAGTGTATGTAGTTGTTAATGCACACCACTGTCAGTGTATGTAGTTGTTAATGCACACCATTGTCAGTGTATACAGTTGTTAACACACAGCACTTTCAGTGTGTTGTTGTTAATGCACACCATTGTCAGTGTATACAATTGTTAACTTACACCATTGTCAGTGTATATGGTAAATTATCCACACCATTGTCAGTGTATGCGGTTGTTAACAATATCAGTGTATGGTCATTGTTAACACACAACACTTTCAGTGTGTGTAGTTGTTAATGCACACCATTGTCAGTGTATGTAGTTGTTAATGCACACCATTGTCAGTGTATGTAGTTGTTAACACACAGTACTTTCAGTGTGTGTAGTTAATGCACACCATTGTCAGTGTATGTAGTTGTTAACATACACCATTGTCAGTGTATACAATTGTTAACATACACCATTGTCAGTGTAAACAATTGTTAACATACACCATTGTCAGTGTATACAATTGTTAACATACACCATTGTCAATGTATACAATTGTTAACATACAACATTGTCAGTGATTACAATTGTTAACATAAAACATTGTCAGTGTATACAATTGTTAACATACAGCACTTTCAGTATGTGTAGTTAATGCACACCATTGTCAGTGTATGTAGTTGTTAACACACAGCACTTTCAGTGTGTGTAGTTGTTAATGAACACCAGTGTCAGTGTATGTAGTTGTTAATGCACACCATTGTCAGTGTATGTAGTTGTTAACACACAGCACTTTCAGTGTGTGTTGTTGTTAATGCACACCTTTGTCAGTGTATACAATTGTTAACATACACCATTGTCAGTGTATACAATTGTTAACATACACCATTGTCAGTGTATACAATTGTTAACATACACCATCGTTATTGGTTACAATTGTTAACATACACCATTGTCAGTGTATGCAATTGTTAACATACACCATTGTTGGTGTATACAATTGTTAACATACACTAATATCAGTGTATACAATTGTTAACATACACATTCGTCATTGGATACAATTGTTAACATACACCAATGTCAGTGGATACAATTGTTAACATACACCATTTTTCATTGTATTTGATTGTTATCATACACCATTGTCAGTGGATACAATTGTTAACATACACCATTGTCAGTGTATACAATTGTTAACATACACCATTGTCAGTGTATACAATTGTTAACATACACCATTGTCAGTGGATACAATTGTTAACATACACCTTTGTCAGTGTATATGATTGTTCACATACACCAATGTCAGTGGATACAATTGTTAACATACACCATTGTCAGTGTATAAACTTGTTAACATACATCATTGTCAGTTAATACAGTCAATGCACACCATTGTCAGTGTATACGGTTGTTAACGTACATTGTATAATTGACACCAGTTTTGCCGTTGTGCCAAGAACTAATCACTGCCAAGCCTGTCAAATAACTAGGTAATGTAATTCCAAGCGCATTCACTTCCACAAATGTTGCGTGTTTGATATACTGCTTGATGCTTCCTGGCATTCACTGAGCTAAGTGTAAACACAGTGTGAAGAGACAAGCCGGAGGCCCTTATGTGATAGTCCATGCAGAGTTATCTCCCCTATGTACATCTCCTTCCAAGAGACCAACATGTTGTGGTAATTGTCAGCTTGGGTGGTCCGTAGTGCCGTGCTGGGGTCAGTGGGATGCTCACAGGCAGCAGTGGAGGCCCCCTGACAGTCGGTGCCAGTCCCAGGCGGCTCTCCACTTGTGCAGGCTTTACCTTCTCCCAGCCATGTTTTGATAGGAATCATTTGGCAATATTACCCCAGCACTATCGGAGGTTTTCCTGGGTATCCGGTTTCTTCTTGTGATGCCAATGAAGTCATGCTAGGCTCCTTCGTCTTGCGGAGTGGTGATGGAAAAAACTGATATTTTGTGTAAATATTCAAGCATAATATTTCTTGTTGTAAAAGGGGAAACCATTATTGTGGTCTTGACTTGACTGGCGGAGGAATTCCATGACTCATTGTGGGAGATTGGTTCTGATTCCGTGGACGCTATCTCACTGGCGTGTGTTCTGTGGGGTGTATGTTGTAGACTGGAATAACAGATAGCAAACAATCTTCATTGTTCAGTCGCCTGGTTAACTGATGTCAGATATTATCAGATGTGAGCCTGGACTTCCTAGAGTTATCCTTCCTTGTGGAAGACCATCTCATTCAAGAACGTTGATGTTTCTCTTTGGGGAGGAGAGTCGAGATTTGATACATTTTAGGCAAATCAGATCACCCTGAAACAGCTTCTCATTTAGTTGTTGTTTTGAAAGGTGATAAGAACTGTTCGGAATATTTGAAACTGGGCCTCTCTTCTCAGTGCTAAGCAGCCTCAAGCTGTTCTCAGCACACAGCTTCAGGAGCTGGTAAGGGGCAGTCGGGTAGCCTAATGGTTAAGGCGTTCGCTCGTCACGCCAAACACCTGGGTTCGATTCCTGACACGGGTACAATGTGTGAAGCCCATTTCTGGTGTCCCCCTCCGTGATATTGCTGGAATATTGCTAAAAGCGGTGTAAAACCATACTCACTCACTCACTTACTCACTCAGGAGCTGGTACAGTTTCCATGCTGCTGGAAAAGGGAATTAATATCTTAATAAATTGTGTTACTTCATATTGATATATCAACCAAACTCTTTAACTTGGACTCAATATAGTATGTATATTAGCATCATAATAGGGCCTCCCTGTGGGGATTCTGGGTAAGAATTGGTCCCCTGCAGCCTGTGCTGGTCTCCCTGTGGGGATTCTGGGTAAGAATTGGTCCCCTGCAGCCTGTGCTGGTCTCCCTGTGGGGATTCTGGGTTAGAATTGGTCCCCTGCAGCCTGTGCTGGTCTCTCTGTGGGGATTCCTGGTTAGAATTAGTTCCCTGCAGCCTGTGCT